TACATGTAAGCCCTTGTAAACGTTAGCAGGAGATTCCTTTGCACTTTACAAGACTCTTCAAGCTATTACGTGTGATTAACAAGGACTAGCGAAACTGCGAAATACCCCTCCCAAGCCGAACAGCGCCCAAGTCACTTGGAAACTATACCCATTTTTATCTTCGAGTGATGTCAGTAGCCCAGGTATAGCCAGCAAATCTCAGTTTTCTCTCCGCTGCGGCTCGCAAGCCTTCCCAACTAGGAAACGTCGTGCTTGCTGCAGACTTCTCATAGAAAGATCTTCACTTCTGAAATCTCCCAATATCGGGTCTATCGGATATCCTTCATCCACTACTACTTGACCCCGTCCATCAGTAATTCGCCGCTCATTCGATCCAGAATCGGTCAACAATTGTGTTCGCGGCGAATAGCGCAGAGCACTGTAGAGAACATCTGCGCCCGTCGACGAGGCGCTCTGCCATTGTCTTGCAAATTCACACGCACAATTGGACGGCCAGCCTAGCTCTTCGCGGCCTAGAATGGCCTCGATTTTGACGAGTCACCCGTCGATTTCGATGGGCCCACTGGATCGACAACTACATTAACAGCGATTCATGTGCAAATCGAGCGATAAACGCCATTCGGAAAGAGAAAGTGGATCCTCATGGGGGTGACATCGATGGGATAGCCGTAAAATGAAGCAATTTGACCTGAAAGTCAGTACAGGGGGCTGCTCATGAACAAGGCTCATTTGAGCGACTACTTAGCGTCTAAACCCCATCTCTGAGCCAGTTATTATCAGTAGAAAGAAGTAGGTACGGAATGGGATTGGACCAGAAGTCATGTGTAACCGCCATTGCGCTTTGATAACTGCTCCTTAAAAGCAAGTTTTTTCAGTCATCGCTTTCCGATACGCCATCGTCAACCGACACTGGCTATGCGTCTCATTGTCTACCACCGGCTCAAGTCTCACCAGCTCCTGGACACTTCGATTACTGTATCATGCAGCAGGCTCCATCCAGCTCCGGCGTCAGGTAAGTACAGTCCCTGACGGTGTCATTTTTGTGAGCATTTTTGTGTAGTGTTTTGCACCGAGGGGCAAAGCCTTCATGGTTTTTTGGATTCAGTCTCGCGTTTGTAGAAGAATTGGGGGCGCAGTCCGGCTTCGTGGGGGCACCAAAAGGTACTCAGCTACAGGCCGCCTTGTGAAAACCTGTTATTTCCTGTGACGATAGTGGCTCACCTGTACCATTTTACAGCTTCACGCGAGTTTATTGGTCTCACCAAAATGAGACCCGATTCAGCCTCAGCATGAACTAACGAAGGAGTTAACGAAAGTGTTGACTGCCCGCTCCAAGCCGAACAGAGCCGAAACGAGGTTTTGAGTATCACCTCGGTGAGACCTGTGAAGTTCAGCATGTAGTTTACCAGCTCGACTGTTAGCAATTCTGAGCAGAGGGCATGCTCCTTGTCCCCTTCCTCGTTCAAACTTTGTGGATTGATAGCTGGAATTGTGCAGTTGCGTACCTTTGCTACCCGCAAATGGAAGTCAAGCCGAATGACTAGGGTTTTCTGAAAGTTATACCCTCCCCACCCACATAAAACATGAGGCAATGTGCGACTTGAAGGGGGCATTTTGCATTCCTGCCAGTCCTTGTTAGTTCATGTCAGCAAAAAGGTACTGAAGCTCCCGTGAAGGGCAACATTCTTTGAGCGAGCCATTTTGGTCACAGGAATTTGCAAGCCTCAACGAGTTCGCCTGTACAAGCTTATCTGAGTACCTTTCGGTGCCCCACCAAGCCGAACTGCGTCATATCGTGATGGGCTAGTGGAAGTGACTAGACATAGTCATATCCTTTATTTTCAATGTTTTCAAAATCATGGGCTGTAGACATGAGACCATCGGCCACTGGCTTGCGAAATTTATACGTCTGGACACTCTTCTTTTCTTATTCTCAAAGCAAATGGCTCCTTTGTGTTGCTTTGATGTAGTTCTCCCGAGAGCAGATAAATATTAATTAGCTGGTTTTAGATCAATGTCGGTCGATGATTACGATCGTTTCAGTTCGTTGCCGATTCGTGGCTCAACGAAACGGAAATCGAAATCGCGTGGCGAATCGGACGACGACATGAAATCGGGCGATGAACGCGACGTTGACCGACGATCGGCCAATAATGCTCGCGAACGGTACATCCATTCACTTATTGTTTATGTTTATTTATCGATTTTCTATATGGTTTATTCTGTCCTGGTTGCTGTATGTTTATTTGGTCGTTTGGCCACGCCCACACTTTTGAGATTAGAGACGTCTGATCCGAGGCGACCACTCAGCGTGCACTGTATATACATAGATTGCGCAATACAAAGAGACATCGCGTGTAGTAATGGCCTGGATGGCCACGGGTGGCCGAATCGTGGCGGCCAAGGGGGATTCGGAGACCCTCAGAGCATATCGGAAGGGATTAGCCAAAGAAAAACCCCATGGAAATCGATATATCGACTGGCAGGACAGGAAGAAGACAGGCGTTCTTTGACCGTTTAGCTGATGCGAGAGAGCTTTTGTGGACCGATTGAAACGTGAATTTTACTGCGGAAATTGGAACTTCACAGTTTTCGCATATTTTTCTGAAGGTTTTTTCCTCTTCCTCTTTTGATGCATACGCATTTTTGCGGACCTTAGCGTGTTTTCTGTCTCAGCTTAGCTTATATACTTGTG